GAAAAAGGATAGGGACATGAAGAATTTAGATTAGAATTTGGTAGAACACAAAGAGTGGATGCACCTTCGCCATTGCAATCGATTTTGAGCCATGTCATTCAAGGTCTCTAACCATCGATTGTTATCATCTCGCGAATCCCAACCAATTAGTCTACACCTACCAACATGGCTCAATCCACTTGTCAGCGACTTCATGGATTTGTGCCACGTTTTGGTCCGGCCGCCCCTAGCTTTCTTCCAACCTACTCCTGCACCATAGAACATTGCACGTCGGGGCAGTCGGTGGTTGGGCATACGTAACACGTGTCCCAGCCATCTCAACTGATGAAGTATCACTACTTCATCAATCGATTTGCCATCATTACCAAGTACCCGTTTCCTAACAAATGCATTACTTACCCGGCGGTCCCAGGATATACGAGCAATGCGTCGAAGACACTTATGATCGAACACTAGTAGCCTACGAATATCCTCTACTCTTATCGGCCATGTTTCACTGCCGTAAAGAAGGACGGAACGGACTGCTGCACAGTAAACCCGTCCTTTTGTTGCTAGACGGATATCTCGCCTACGCCATAAATGACGCAAGTTGGCAAAAGCTAGACGAGCCTTCTGTATCCGTGCTGAGATTTCGTCACATACCAGACCACAAGGGCTGATGAGACTCCCAAGATAAGTGAAGTGGTCTACACGCTCAACTACTCCACTCCCTATCATTAGTTCAGGTGTCGATGCAACCCAATCCTGAAGTAACATTTCGCACTTCGAGGGAGAGAATCGCATTCCGAACATGCCTGCATAGTTGCTTCTAGTGGTCAGAAGACTCTGCATTTTGTCAGCGTCTCCACCAAATAGAACTATTTCATCGACATATTCCAATGCAACGAGTGAGCCTCCCGGTAAAAGTTCAACTCCTTGAGATTTAGATGATGAAAGTGTTAGCTCTAAAAGCATGCCGATGACGAAGTTAAACAAGAATGGTGAGAGTGGACAGTCCTGACGAACACCACTTGAGGTAACCAATCATGATGACAGTTCGCCATAAGCTCTAACACGATCAGATGTGTTCGAGTAGAGAGTCTTTATGAGGTTAATGTACTTCTTTGGTACTCCATTCAGTGACAAACACTGCCATAGAACTTCACGATCAACTGAGTCAAATGCCGCCTTAAGATCGAGAAATACTACTTTTGTGGGACGTCTGAATGTGTGTCTATGTTCTAGGACCTGACGTAGAATGAATATCTGGTCTACACAACCACGTCCAGGTAGAAAACCAGCCCGGTTTTCTCTGGGCTGCTCTTTACGAGCTTTGGTTAGGCGTCCCAGTATTATTGAAGCTAATATTTTAGTCATTATATTAGTCAAACTGATTCCTCTGTGAATGTCACAGGAGGACTTTTTTCCTTTCTTATAGACTGGCACAATCAGTGATTGGGATCAGTCAGATGAAATTACGTCTAGTTCCCAGATCCTACTTAAGACCTCAGTCAATTCCGCTGCTAGTACTGGACCACCATCCTTAAAAATCTCAGGAGTAAACCTGTCAGGGCCTGCTGCTCTTTCACGCTTCAGATTTCCTATAGCTTTTTCAACCTCGTGAAGAGTTGGAGGATTTACATTAACTTGCCATTCAGGTTGACTGGAGATCGTGGGAAACCAAAGTGTGACTGAAGGTCAGTTGAACTGATCCCTAAAGTGTTCTGCCCATCGATCCAATCTCCTGGATTGAGAATGAATGATATGCCCATCTTTATCTGAGATAGTTTCACTGATACTTGGGTTCCTAATACCGGTTTCTTTAACAAGTCTGAATAGCTGCCTGCTGTTTCCTATTGTTGCTGCCTTTTCCATCTCTCTTGCTTCCGCTACCCACCACTGTTCACGGTCATTGCGTAGGCTTTTTATTAGCCTACGCTTAAGCTGACTCCGCTCTTCGTTATGTTCAGAGCCAGATGGGATGAGTTTTCGAGCATCTATCAGTGCTGTAGATGCTGCTGAAATCCATTATTTCTCCTCAACCTTATGGTTTGCCTTACTAGCGGATATCACTGCTGTTTCCACAGCTTTTCGGATGTCATTCCACGCTACCTTTGGGTGGGCACAACTTACATGGCTGCTCAACTGTTTTTCTAGGTGTTCCTGAAATATATATTCCTAGCTTGCCAATCATTAAGCAGAACCCTTAGAGGCTCCCCTGCAGTGTCTTTCCTACGTCCAGTAAGACGAGGACAGATACGTGCTCGTACTAGAGCATGATCTGAATCTAAACATGTGCTCCAGAATGAGCGACAGTCTTCTATCGAGCCCCCCCAGGAATAACGTTCCGTGTACTTGAATCGTTGGCCCTAGCGGTGAGAGGTGATAAAAGAACGTGAGAAGGGTTAGTCGTGGAGATAAGAGAGTTATTAGGAGTTGTAGGAAGAATTTGAATGTGACCAACTTGGTCTCGTGTGCTGTTACGGGTATAAGGGCTAATATCGCTTTCCGGCTGCCCACACCGTGGAAGAATGCTTTTAGTAGGCGACTTTAGTGCACCGTATATAAACTGTGGAAACTTAGAAGTAAGGTCACCAACAACGTCATTTGGTTGTAAACTGTTAGAAACCTAAATTGCAGTAGCTTTATTCCAGAACATTAAAGATCCCACCAGCTATAACTTAAGAAGCTACTCTTCTCTCTTGGACTTGTCTTTACACACGATGACGAAATCGTTCAAATGACTTTCCTCTCACCTACAGGGAGAAGTGATCATGCAGCCATCTTATTCAAGTTCATGGATGAAATGTCCTGACAAACAGTTGCGCCGGCCCATCCTAAAATATGGAAGGTAGACATGGAGGCGACAAACTCTGCAGCATCATCTGAAAACTGGATAATTGACTCAGGGACATCAGTAGAAGCTGCATGGACTCGTTTCAGGCAGCAATACAATCAGGTAACTCAACCAAATATACCGCCGACAGTTTGAAAGAAGAAGCACGGCCATACCTGGAGATATTCAACGTTTACTGAGATGGAAGAAGAAAGGTTGCTACGTTACCACTAGCCTTGACACAGCAAGCACGACGAAATGCAACAGGTAGGTAAGAAATAAGTGTATAATTAAAATCTGTGAATCTCAGAGGAAATATGAAATGTAGTTGGCATAATCTGTAATCAAGCAGCCTAAGAGAATATTCTCATAAGTAAATTACAAAACAAGGATGAAGTGCTGGATTCCCAACCTAGTTGAGGAAGGGAGTGAATCTGAATTAAGAGAGGACAATCAAGAAAAAACAGGGACTACGACAAACTATTTTGGGGTAGTTTTCACTCAGGAACATCATCCAGACGAAGAACTAAACTCAAACACAAAGTCAACAAACCGTCTACTCACAGTGGACTTTGATCGAGACTATGTAGTAAAGGCTCCCAGCACTATAGACACGGAAATGACAACAGGACCGGATGAATTACATCCCTAAATTCTGAGACATATTGGATAATATATTGCAGCCACATTGACTGTAATATTCAATTTGTCACTTGACCAAGGTGTGTTACCCACGGACTGGAAAAATGCAATCGTCACTCCCATATATAAAACAGGATAGAGACAACTTCCATCAAACTGTAGACCTATCAGCCTCACCAGTGTTGTAGTTAAAATACTGGAAGGAATAGTCAAAAGGACCATAATGACATTCGTGGAAACCAACAACTTGTTAAACAGAAAACATGGTTTCAGAAAAGGTTCATCTTGCACACCAAAACTCGATATAGCAAGGGAGCATTGAACAAAGGCTCTAGACAACGGAAAATCAGTGGATATGGCGTACATAGACTTCAGCAAAGCATTTGATAAGGTGCCGACAAATAGACTACTCTTGAAGTTAGAAAATTTTGGTATTGGCGGACCTCTTTTAAAATGGCTCAAAGATTTCTTGGTAGGTCGTATACAGAAAGTAAGAATAAATTCCATGTGCTCCACCTGAAGATCAGTACTGAATGGAGTACCTCAAGGTTTTGTCCCAGGTCCTTTACTATTTATATCGTATGTAAATAATCTCCCCAGTATAGTTGATTCCTCGATGTAAATATACGCTGACGATGTAAAAATCTGGCGAGAAATAGCAGGAAGCGCATATGCATGCGCACTTCAGGCAAACCTAAGTATTGTGATTAACTAGTCTAAAGAGTGGCTGATGACTATCAGTGCTGCAAAGTGTGTGTACAAGTACTTTGAGGATACAAAAGCCGATAGGTACAGCATAGGGTTAGTGCCTGTTCCAGTGGTCCAGTCTCACAAGGATCCTTGGGTGACAGTGAATCGTGATCTTAAGACCAGGGACCACTTCCGGAAGGTTGCAGCTAAGGGGTGTAGAACCCTATGAACTTTAAGACGAAAATTCACCAAAGGAGGTGTTGTCATGTTCAATACAGTATACACAACCTTAGTGAGAACTAAACTTGGAAACCGCGCTCAGGCTGCAAGCCTATGTTTAAGAGGTGACTCGGATAACCTGGAAAAATCAGAGAGGGCAGCTGCTGGTACAATTCCAGAACTCCGGGGTTTACCATACAAAGGGCGGCTTGAGAAGCTAGACTTCTTTACTCTGTCCTATCTCAGATTAGGAGGTGATCTGATTTTGACGTATAGAATACTAAGAAATTATTTTGGACCTAGTATATTCTTTTTTCTTCCCACTGGGCGGGACATCTCAGAGGACATAGCAGGCGAGTAGAAAATCCAAGAACGAACGAAATACCCGTGGTATACAGGTTTCCGCTCTTATTCATCAGTTATTTGAACCCGTTATCCGAAGCAGTGGTGTCTGCACCTTCAATTGACTCATTTAAGAGACACAGAAGCATCCTAGAAGTGTAATAACATAGACTATAGGCCAAACATTTATAAACACTTGATTGACACTAATACATATGAAGCTAATTATTATTATTCAAAACACTCAGTTAGGTGATCTTTCACGCTTCATTGGGATAACTTGGTATACTAACTTGCTTTAAATGGTGCGCTAGATCAACGAGCGCGGCTTTTAAGTTATGGGTGATCGGCCTGCAGGTTGGGCGTATAAGACGAGTTCTGGTGTTTAATCTATGCATTTTATTATGTAGTTGCGCATTGTTTTCCAAGATTTCTGTTTTGTTGTTAAGTCATGTAACTTCAACTTGCACAAGACAAATCATTTGCTGTGATCTTCTATCTATGTAGGTCAACAACAACATTTGCCAGTGCCCGTCCGGATACCGCTGTCCAGTATTCGTGCACAGACAAGGCCTCTCGGAAATATTGTCCCTGCCAACGTAAGTGATATGTTTTAAGGAATTGAGGTCTCGTCAACCTTTGTTTTTGTACCGTCTGTAAGACGCCAGAGTTCTCAGTAGGTAGTTTCCGACGTCCCTTAGCTTCCACTTCACAATCCTTTTATAGACAAACACTGGGAATATTTTGAAGACGTAGGGAGAGTCCTAGCTGCTTATCTATATGCAGATCAGATCATCTTTACATTTGATGATCACATTAAGTGGTACCTAATCCGTGGTCTCATCTAGAATTGACTATTCTGTAAGTTCAGATTTCATCCGACCAAGTAACCGAAAACTTGTAGATTCCTAGATTTGCATCCATACGGATCTGTGTTGCTGGCCGTTGGCATTCCCTGGAAGTTGTCTGTCTCGACTACACATCACCAAATTTCTTAGTCAATTACCTAGAAATAACATGCTTTTTCTCAGCTTTAACATTCGCATAGTAGGAACATGAATGCCTTACCACGCTACGCATTTGGCTTGTATTATAACACGAAGCTAGAACAACATTATAAATAGGATCAATGTCATATGCAATATACGTGCCTAACGTATCTTTTTTGACTCATTGCTAAAACGCACAGTGGCAATTAAACGTGTCAATTTTGTCTTAAGGTGTGTTGGAGTGACCTTTTTCACACTTGTGGATGGTATTGAACATAAAGAAAATTTCTTTGCTTCACTTACGTGATGTATTTTACCAATTCAAAATTTAATATAAACTTTAGACAAATGCGTCATAATTATCGTTTTTATTTTTTACCCGACATATGGGGTGCGGGCACAGTTGTCTGTTACGAAGTTTAGGCGGTGGGTGGTTAAGAAGGGATATTAGTAACATTGTCTTCTGATAAGTGTAATCGTTAGTACTACAACTGTTGGTCCCAAGCGTCCAGTTTCATTTCTTATTCTACACAAAACTAAGGTCAAAACTATTGGTCTAATGATTTGATACTTACAGTGAATTCTGTGGAAATAGAAATCCATAGAGTGTTTTTGACATATCTCACAAAGGTTTTTTTCACATACCATCTTAAGAGCAATGGGTCTTGAATTACTCGAGCACTTCGAAGTTCCCGAAATCTCTCAAAGTTCTTTTGGTAAAAAAAGAACTAGTCGGCTCGGAGACCTAATTTCGGGGTTCAGACTATGTAAACTTGCAAGACTGCAACTCACTGCGTGATTTCACTAAACACTTCCTTAAAGGAGCTGCTATCACTATCGTGTTCTATTTATCTAAGAAAAGCTGTACGAGTCCGAAATAACTTTTGTAGTGTCTTCAATTGCGTCCTGATTACACTGCACCCTCAACTTGGACGATATCAGGTGATAATCCATAGAGGTATCTCGTGAATATATATAGCCAGGCAGATCGCTGATTTAATATTCTTGCTGCAACATCTTAACTAAGCAGAATGTTCTATAAATCCTCTTAAAATGCTATTTAGTTATTAACTGTCAGTAGGTTTTTACCACAAGGATTCATAGACTGATATTCTATCCCTTAAAAACTGGTAGTCTTGTTTGGAGATAATTTAAGTCAGTTTTCCTCTACGTAACACAGGATTTTTTATTACAGAGTTGAGATGCTGGCAAACTTAACATCCTTTGGAAAGCAAACAGTTGTTAATATTCGGTGTCATTTCAAAAGGTTCCTTAGTTTCGGAACCCCCTTATTTATTCGTTTACGGTTCCCTAGTACTTATAATCGTAAGGCATCTGGTGTAATAGTTGTAGTGGCTCAACGGTTGTTGAGAAATATTTTTGTGCCTCAATAATAGACGTGTTTTGATCATTAGATTTCAGGGTTCGGACTTATCACATCCTGTTCTGGATGTTTCACCAGTATTTAGTTCGTAGCATGATTCTTCCTACTGCTCTGATCAGTAAGACTATAGTTTATGAACGGCCTTTGAGCAACGCTTAAATGACCTTGGAATGTCCACCTACTTACCGCCCCCAAATGCCCTGGTACGGCCGAGAGTGGGGAGAGATCGCTCTCCCTCTCGAAATGCTCTCACATGGCCACGCGTATATAGCCTCTGCCAGAGAAGTCCTACTCACTGCCTTCTTGTGATGGGGTGTTGTTTACGAAATTGGGAGGACGAAAAGCGAATGTCTGGAGCTTTAACCAGGTTGGTGGACACGTTGAGTCCACCTAGGGGAGTTGGAAAACCCTGATTCCAAACCAATGGTGCACATGGGCTCCAGTATCCTGAAGGAACAAATAGCGTATGAACCAATCGTTGGTTACCGGCTACCATGAGAATGCATCTTCTCACGATGCTCCACTGCCTTGTGGATTAGATCTTCAGGTCAAAGTCTCCGGGTGTGATCCCCTAAGAAAACCACCTGCTTCGGTTTGGGCACATGGGCAGTATCTCAGCCCTCACACAAATCAAATGAAGTGTGGCGCATATGTATCTGGTGCTTTCTTGTACCAATATTTGTGTTTAAATAAAATAATACAAAACCTACCTACCAGGGGTAAATGAAGGTTATATATTAGTGTGTGGAATTAGCATTGGGATTTAGTTGAATGTTAAGGCTAGGAATTAGATTTAATGCTTTCACGTAATGACGTCAGCCATAATTCCAAAATGATATTTAACGAAATGAGTGAATGAATTTCGTGATAAAATCCAAGACGTGCTATCTTTAATGTAATTGATTTGTCCATAAATTAGTCATCCTTTGATCAAATTAAAATTAATGACAAGTAATAATGTAGATAAAATAAATTCTCTGATTCTTCTGTGTTAGGAGGTGGCAAACATATCCAGTTGTATGTAGTTGGTATATATTGCGACTGGACTTTCGATAAGTTTCCAACAGTCTGTCTTTGGTCATCATGATTGATGGTATGCCAGCAACACTTCAAGGTATGTTTTGAGTTGAAGCATAGGGATTAAGTGAAACTTTATCGCTTATGTGTATTTGATATTGCTAGGTAATACAAAGTCCATTCAGATCTTTTTGGTATCGATCAATGAAGTGCTGAGCGTCTGTACATTATCACTAAACCATCAGTGCTAAAGGGATACTACGGGAATTCATTATCCATGGTATCGTATGATTATAATCTCACTGCATTCTCAACTTTGTTTCACTTGCCATTTTTGAGGCTAATCTGTTATTGTGTGCTTAGAGAAATGCTTACCACAGTTGCAGTATTAAGGACAATAAAAGCATAGAATCGAATTTGCCTGAATAAAAATTATATGATTTTTCATAATTACCTGTGAACTGTATGATACAGCGCTATCCTTTTATTGCGTCAAATTAGTGCAAGGCTGAACACAGTAAATTATCGGTTACAGTCACTGAGTTTCTGAAGATCACGAGGGGAATCCACAAATATTTGTACATATGATCAAATAAGAAAAATAATTCAACCCAAACAATACTGTTTAGTCTTCCTTATGACTGATGAGTTAATTATTATCTATCCTGCTACAACTGATTTTCTCTAATCAGTCGACTCAACTGCTAGTCTACTTCCCTATAATACAGCTTCTATGTAGTCGCTAGTTAGATGCTTGAGCATTTTAGGGTTTGTTCCTCCCCTTAATCATAATAATTGTACTATGGTATGCGGAACAAGATAACATAAAAAGTTCGGAAGACTCAGGTAAATCAAAGTATTAAACCTGTCAGCCAACTTAATATCGATATTACTTACTAAGATGTTGATACTTTAGACTAAACAAATTTACTCACTTTTCTGAATTGAAGTGTAGTGCAATAACTGAATGAAGACTCATAATAAGATAGCTGAGAAATTTGTGTTGTTCCTTAAAACACATGAAACAAAACGTCTTAGAAATTTGTAAATTCATGCATCGGTCCGAGTTGCTATACTTTATTCTCAGGATAAATAATTCACTAAAAATATTAAGATCAGCGAATGACGTATTTTTTACTAGACTGTTGGTTTGGTCAGCTCAGTGTAGCATATTTTAACTAGGTCTATGAACTTTCGATATTTTGACACTACGACTTAGTAACCAAGCACATATCCATGTAATTGACTTCGATCCACTTTTTGTATCATGGTTAGCGATGTCACTTGATTGCTCAAAGTAAAGTAAGTTGATGAAGTCTGGAAAACGAGATTGATTGAAAGCTGGTTTACTTGACAACTAAGCCCCTTTGGGTATGGCAAATACGTATCGAGTTAATCAACTGAAGGGTGTTAACAGCTTGGTAGTAGGAAATTAGATTACTGTCAGTGACAGTTGTTGCTTTTCATGTACCAGTGTATTCCTATCTGTTGACTATATTCCCAGAGGTCAAAAGACTTTGAACAAGTCAACCAATGCTGTTCTTCCGTAACACCTCATAAGATCACTTTTTTGATATCGTTGTCCACACATTGTGAAACCTTCCCATATAAAAATGCAGAAAGGATGGTTATATCCCATTATTTTCTATTTAAAAATTCCATTTAAATTTGAAAAATAACTATTTCCATACTTGGTTCATTCCCGGTGGTACATTTCTATATGACTTCCTTACATAATTTTGTTTTATGAAGGTACCTCGACCACCCATGGTTAACCAGGTGTACTTGCTTCCTAAATCTGGGATAACTAATAATGTCCTTCCAAGTGCTCCGAGTGTGATGCAAGTTAGGAGTTTGGCTGTTGGACAAACTGTACTCCAGCCAAATGGTGTACTTGCCACCACTCCTGTTATGCCAAGTAAGTCTTCCATCTTAATTTTATATATATATATATATATATATATATATATATATATATGGGTCAGCTTTACATCAGACTATCAAAACACTTGAAATATTCAGTTCATCTAGTTAAAATCCGAAGCCTTATCTTTATTGTCATTTGTAGCAATTTAATAGCAGCTCGGAGTTATTTAGTGACTTGAGTTCCTCTCACTTCTATGTAGGATATAAAATAAATGCAAAGCAGAAACTCTAATGGCTTCTTTTCTGACTCACATTTGATAATTTCTCAATCCACTAAATTACACAATCTCTAGGACCCTAATTGGCGATTCATAATGAATCGACAGATAGCAATTCTGCCCATGCTTTACGACCATAACGTAATTAAAAACAAACCACTATGCAGTAAACTTTCCTTGGCCCTAGTAGACAGACGAACACTCCACCTGAGATAAAAGCAAAGTTGAAGAAACCCAAACGAGCTTGCCAGCAAGCTGACCCAATCAAGACATCAGTTCATGAGATTATGCACCGCTGATTGGAGTCATTTCATAAAGTGTAGACTTATTACTTGAAGCCATCACAAAATAATCATATCCCTTTGTTAAAGACCTTGGAGGATTTGATCCTAAATCTCACGCAGTGGCCGAAATGTATTCTAACGATTCAGTTGACTTTGGAGTTTGAACCCAAACCTCGAGAGATGACTTTTGAGTTTTTATTTTCAACTTCGGATTGTCAGCTTTTCATTTTTTAACGTACCCTGGTAACCATAAATATATAAGGCATTAGTAATGTGGAGTTCTCAGAACCAAGTAACTCTATATTTGGTAAATACCTTCCTCCTACGGTACAGTTGATGGTATGTGACAATGGGGACGTGAAATTCACCCCTTTTAGTCATACCACCTTCTAGCTGACTAGCGTGGAACATTGGAACCTCTTGAGACAAATTATTGCGAAGTTGATTTCTTTGGAAGCTTCAAGTAAGTGTCCACATATTTTTTTCCATTGTCTTCATTAGTCTTTTTGACCGCTTGGAAACTTTTTCAAGAGGTACTTTCTGATATTTGTTTTTATAATCAGGAGTTGTCACATCTCAGTCGGGTTCCTCAACTAAACTAGTGGGATTTTTTAACCAATTGCTAGAACTATCGAAGAATGTCTCAGTTAGCACTCATAGCTCAGTAGCAACGCTAATTCAAGCATTAGTGGTGAGTTTTTAACTAAATAAATTCTAAATTCACTTTGCTTTACATTATATTTTGTACAATTCACAATTCAGTAATCGTGCACAGGTTTCGTTTTTAAACTGCATGGCATGTATATTGTATGAGTGTTAACATTACTCTTCGAATCCCTAAACCACAACAGCTGGAGTGAGATTTAAACCCCTAATCTGTATATCTGTCGTTAAACTCCGTTTCGTGGTTTTAAATACTTCAGCGATTTTTTTGTCTTAGAACTACAGTATTTACTTACATGAAATTCAAGACTCATTAGATACGTTAGATATATTCAAATTAAGATAACTTTTATAACCCCAAAATATTTATATCCTTTCCTTAGATGTTAACATAGTGATCTATTATGTAGCGTTCAAATATCCCTTACATTATATTGTTATGACAAGCAAAATATTAACTCATCGACTTCAGACACTCAAATCCTAAAAAAAACTACACTAGATATAATGGCTGTTTCAACTATCCGGTTGCCTAAATCAAAATAGGTAAACCTACAATTTAGTAACCGAAAGTCAGATTTTAAAAAAATAGTAGATTACTACTACCTTTAATTCAATCACCTGAGCAGTGATATTTTATTTTGATAAATATCCATTTATGATTCCGTATTCAGTTCCGTGGACGGATATCCCCGCTGTTTTATCAATCGATCTTTTCATTATTATTTACTTTCGACTTCATGTGTCACAAGTTTTTACCATTCACTTTGTTTATATAGAATGGAGAACTTGATGCCAGTTCGTTCAGTGCACAACTACGTAGCAATCTTAAAAGTGCCAATCCTGGTATGGACCTCGCCCCATTCATAAAGGACAACATAGATTTACTTAGAAGAGATCTAGCTAATGGTGTCTGTCGTCTCCCAAACATACAACCTCCCCCAAAAGATATCTTCACAGGTGTACCCACAGCAGTTCCTGTCTCTATCGTAACAACATTAACTACCCTAGGTCTTCAGCCCCGCTCTAATGCAGCGGTTTCCACAACACTAGTTTCTTCAGCAATACCCGCTGGTCCTCGTATTACTCTGCCAACGAATACAACTCCTCGCATAGTAGGCACACTCATGTCATCAGTTTCATCGCCAGTTATTCCAAGTAGTCCTGTCACTGTTCCGACACCCCGAACACAACCCCCACTATTGGCTCCTGCTCCTCCCCGGACGTGTATTACATCTGCCACAAACTATGATGCAGCTTCAAGTCTTAACACCGGTGCAAAATATCGTTTAGCTCAGTCTTTTAGTGGTGTTTCATCTTCAGCGTCTGTCGTATCTAATGCAACCGCTGCAACAGTGGTCTCGACACGTTTCACATCGACTATTAACGGTACGCGTCCAAACTACCAAAACCTACGACCAATTATTGCTTCGTCCACTTCCGCAACATTGGGTATCAACCTAGCATCGATAAAATCAGTTGCTGGTGTTTCTGCATCTGTACCCCCTATAATTCGTGCTAAATCTGGATATGTTAACACTTATTCTCCTGGAATTCTACCCGCTGTTCACAGCAAAGTAGGCTCCAATCTCCTCTCCTTGAATGGATCAGCTGTACTAATAGAAGGCGTGGACCGAAAACAGAATGACCTCTCGTTTTTGAGCGACGATATCCGTCACCCCCCTATGTCACCTACACGTGACAATCCATTTTTCCCATCAGAAAAAGTTAAGGAAATATTAGAATCTCATGGCATAAAAACACTAACAGAAGAATCTATCGTGTGTCTCGCCCACGGTTTGCAAATATTCATCAAAAATCTTTTATCAAAGTTGAGGATTGTAGTATCACATCGTCTCGATCGTTTAGGCGAGGATTCTCGTTTGGTTCAAACAGATCACACTCGTGAACAATTGAGATTTCTTCAGAAGTTGGATGAACATGACCGAATGAGGCAATCGGAATTAGAAAAGGATCTAATTTTGAAAGCTGCAAAAGTAAGTTTCAAAATATATATCTTAAAAAAATCTTGATAGGTAATCATATTTAACTTCATTTATTTGCCGAATACAGACTTATTTTTGCAAATTTTAGGTATCTAGTAGATAAGCCCCTTGTAGCGTAACATTAGCTAATATTAGTAAAATGAATTGCGCGGGAGTCCCTATTTTACGCTTTTGTCCTCATTAGTTGATTTAATGTTTTCACCTTTTAAAACACAATGAATCATTATTTTTTGCGCTTTTCCATTTTTAGTCGCGTTCTCGAAATGAAGATCCTCATCAAATGCAGATGAGGGAAATGGCTCGACGGATAGCATCTGAAGATTATGAACGTGAGAAGCAACATCAAGCCAATCTTACAGCTCTTCACGCTATCGGCCCACAACGCAAGCGTCGTCTAGATACTTTAGATGAAATGGGAAACCCTATTTCAACAGATATTTTGGGAGCCTCTCTTTCAACACGAGATGGTGTGACGAATTTGGTGAGTGCCCTACCTGCTTCTACTGCTAATCGCCTTTCTATTGTCAGTGCCAGTCGATTAGGTTTGGTAACATCAGGACCTAATCTAACGCAGCTCAGTTTAGAAGCTTTACCGGCAAATTCAAGCTCGTTGGTCTCCGGTGTCGGTGGGACTGGTGATAGCGTGTCAAATACGTCTGGGTTTTCAATAGCACTCAGTCTCAGGGCACATCGTGCAACTCTCAGAGATATACAGGTCATACTTTCTCGCGCACCGAGACTTCGTCGTACACGTACTTACTATAGGACGTATTGGCGCTCTCAGCCTTAAGAGTCTTTTCTTTGTTTCTTATTTTTATTTTTACAGCGACTTGATTTCTGATTGTAATATGGTTTAACTATTTGTTGGCTAATTTTCCTAAAATCATTTACGTTCCCAACCTAACTTGTATCATAAAATCTTTGTACATTATGAGTTTTCACACTAGCCTAATTCGCTAGGCATCTGGCGTTCTATATATATATACCGTAATATCTTACTATTGTATAAAATGTGATGTTAGCTTCAGATTACTTTTCTCTACTAAATGTGAGATTCCATGTATTTTTTCATAAAGCCTGTACATTTACCAATTTCATGTATACTTCGCTGTACATAATTTCCAATTATCCTTTTCAGAAAATAATAAACCTGTTATTTCTTTAGTATTTCACAAACTTCATTCTGTTTTTAAAATTAATCATTCTCATGAAAAGTTGAAACACAATTGACAAACGACCATTTCACATCTACACAATCTGAGTACATCCAGTTTATTACTAACTAATCTGCGGAAATAAGAGCAACTTATAAATTATTTTACTGAAAAACGCAATATATGGTCGGAGATTGAGTAAAATTATAAATAAGCAAAAGTAATTCTGCAAAGATTAGTTAGTCTGTCACATAATATGCACTTGCATAAAAGAATTACACTCGATAATAGGAAAAAGAAAGAAATAATATCAGTTGTAATAACACTCCCTATATATTTTCAACATGAAGGTCTGGATCCGAAGGTGCCTGATTATATATATATATATATATATATATATAGCCAAACAGGGACAAGAACCGTGATAAAATATTCCTATTGTGAAATATATGTCTGTCCGAAAATATTGGACTAGTGTTTGGAAAGCGCTCAGGTTTATTTATATTGAAAGCATAGTTCGGAATTCAAGACCAGTATGTCCTGAAAATATAAAAAGAAATCGTAAAATGGATTATACCAAAGTCCTGGATATAATCAACCGTCAAACCGTTGTTTTCATACAAAATAATTCTCAATTAAAGGTAGTAATCAGAATTTGGAATTTCCGTTCATCTGCGAAACCGTCTCATAGTGAACATGGTAGTATTCAGAAAGTCAATGTGCCTTTATTTTTAATGACGATCATTGGTACGACCTTTGTCTTCTTCTGTACCATATTGACTTCAGTTGTCAATAAGTTATTAAACGATATCAACTTTACGGCAAGTTATTTCAGTTGTACACATCTAGTGAATAGGTGTGTATCTTTAAGCTGACGCATGGTTTCTAATCCAATCAAGCTACAACTATTTGTGCTTAGAATATCAGTGTTGCACATAGTGGAATTTAGGAGCGTTTCATCCACTTCCAGGCCTATAGGAAAAATATCAATGAGCACTAAGTGGTGGTAATCTTTTCCTAAATGACTAAATATAATTTCGTTATTACTTGACGTCACACTAAGAAGGCGAAGTGATGGCTCGATAAGTGGAAGTGTGTATAGAAAGAGTCCCTCTGTCTGTCAATATACTCACTTCTATAGCATTAGACCTATCCGATATAAGAGAAATTTGGTTAGATGCCTCACTAGTAGAGCAAAAAAGATCTGTTCAGTAGATACTTTAAGTCAGGAGCTGGAGTTTATCAATAACTCACTGACAGAGATCGGCTACCCTAGTGCGTTCATTAAGAAGTACATGTATAATACGAGAAAGAAGGTCTGAGATTTCAACTGTTCGAAAGAAACCTTTATACATGAAACTACAATTCAGCGGGGATGTGGCTAGTGATACTCTGAAAGATAAGTTTACGAAAGTAATTAGCAGGACATTCTACGCAGTCAATCTTGCGTTGACTTTCTCGAGTCACCAGCGATGTCTACTCAAACGAAGGAAAAGTTACCTGAGTTGACCTCCTTTATGTGCATTTACAAGTTCAGCTACTCCTGTGGAGATAGCTATATCGGGCGTACTACTAGGAAACTTAACCAACGAATGAGTGAACATCTACCAGGATGGTTTGGGAAGGGTTAGATAAAAACAATACTAAGTTCTATCTTGGCATATCTACTTGATAGTGATCATGATGTAGATAAATCGAAATCATTCCGAGTGATCTATCGTATACCTCCATCATTTGCCAACGGAGTTCGTTCCCGTCTCCTTCATATAGCAGAAGCCATAGGAATTCGTACATTTCACCCCAATTTATGTGTACAGAAGAAATTTGTAAACCCCCTATCCCTTCCCAAACCGCCTACTACTTGAACTAGTCTGTTTTAACAGACTAGTGGGATTTACCATTTTTTCTAGTTTTCGATTTTGTCTGAAAATAGTAAATCAATACTAATGGATCTGCAGTGACGTTTTGTTGCAAACTCATCTCTGATCTAAACCCGTATACCTTGAAAGGTAGCTTATAAGTAAAGTCAGCCATTGCAATGCAAGATGCCAGGTATTAAAAAAATGGAACATTAGATCAATTTGCGGACAAATTCAGTTACTGGTGATCTCTTATTTTTTCATATGACCCATACCTATTTCATGATTAGATAATTACAAGCTAAATATTATGATAATTCGAATGCTTGTTGATATGTTATCCTCAAACGCAACATATACTTACCTTTAATCTTAAATGAATCAAACCAAAACCCTGTCACTTCCACCTGTGTCACTGCCCATAATAATTGTTTTCTCACTTACATGCTTCTGAATATTCAAGCTGGTGGGTGTTTGGTTAAATACAGGTTTTAAGTTGGATGTATTATCTGTTCCTGGTTCCCCAACGATTCGAAACACATATACTCCTTCACTATCTGGACTTACTGTAGACCTTCTCCTAGATACTAACTTAGGATTGCGTCTGGTTGTTTCCTTCAGGGAAGTCTTCAAGGTAACGGGACTTTCAGACATAACAGGAATAACATGAGGATATATTGTATTGTCAATTCGCTTTGTTTGATATACTATCTTTAAAGGGTTTGAATTCATTCTATCTAAAGATCTGGATTCTCTATTTGGATGAGTTTGAATGAAATTGGTCGTTTTGTGAGATCTCATCAAATTTCGATCTGAACGGTCGTCTCGAGTGCTTTTTATTTTCATGTCATAAAGTTTCCCATTATATTGCTGAATACTGTCAGGTTTCGGTAGAATTATGGGTTGTGAAGTAAGGTCTGCACTACTTGTACTAGATGTATCTTGGTTATCATTTTCAAATAGGCCCCACCTACTGAGACTTTTAACAAGTATCTTTGGATCAATGAAATATTCCCGTTCATATCTATCATCTAAATCACTGTATACATGTTTTTGTTTGTCATACAACTTAGCTAGATTGGGTGACTTTGAGATTTGTGTAGTTTCCAACTCTTCTTTAACAGTAATCTGTTTAATTTTAGCCCAGCTAAGATGCTCAGTAGATCGAATTAAAGGTGAGCTCATTGATGTTTGAATAATTGATGAAGGATTAGAAATCGATGCATCGGAATTCCAACTATTTATTCGAACACTAGACTTTTGTTTCCTAGTTATAGCTACGAATTGATAATCACTTGGAAGACGGCATTGTAACGATGAGGAGCGATTGAGGTGTTTTTCTGTAATTGTTTCGTAGAAATGAGGTTCATTGAGAATACTTGAAGAGTCCGCATCTTTAACATCCTCAGGAGTAGCTAATGGCACTCCTTCAAGTTTGGTGTATTTGCAAGTGTCACCGCCAGGCCAATCTCCTGAGTCACTTTCATAAATACTATTTTCATAATCTGATGAAGCTTTAGTGCATCCATGTGGAGATTGAATTAGTAGTTCTTCATATAAAACTTTCGATGGCAAATCTACTGATTTGAGTTCTGCTGTGTTACATATCGGCCATACGTTTGCCGTAGATATGACTGGGCTTTTAATAGGTTCTACAGCTTCAGAACAATCATCCAGTGCACATATAAGCGTTCGTTCTTGGTTCCTTGAACCAATGAATCGTAAAGGATCAATTGTTAAAGGTTTAGGAGGTTCTAGACAGAAACGTTGTTTTGCAGCTAGCCGTGACTGATGAGATGGAGATGAAAATAGTGGAGGTATTTTAGATTGAATATTATTTAAATTGTCAGAACATAAAGAAGGATCACTTATACTCGCTTCCATTGGTTTTTGTGAATCAGAATGCACATTGAATTGGAGATTTTGAGGATTGGTTGGAGAAAGAGCAGCTGAAGATGCAAATGATTCCGTTGATTTTAAAATCCATAAATCTGTATTTTCATGATTCATTTTTCGGTTAGAATCACGTGCACTTATTTCAGGTGAACAAATCTTGTGGTCATATGAAAATGAGCATTGAGATTCTGACTCACTTGATCTATACGACAAAATATGTAAAAAGTGAGTTCAATTTAACTGTCTATTTTTTAAAACGATCGCAAATATATTGTTCTGTATTTGAAATTCTTATATGTATTGTACTAGAGGAATCTTTATATTAGTATCATATCGAGTACAATTTACTAAGATATTATTTATCTCATAGTAATAAAATTAGAAAAAAGACATTCAGTATCAGAGTGTCTATGTGAATAAATTTGATACTTCACATGAGTTTACATTTCTTATTACTATAGGCCAGAAATACTATAAAATTTAGGAGAGTGATAGGAATTCCCAATGAATATGTTTGAAAATATCCTAACGACAAGATACCTTCAATTTCATAAAGTAACAGTTGTACAAGAAGCTTTTATACTTTTAATCTTTTGCTTTTGAGGCGATATGAATGGAAGGATCCAGTGTCAATCAGTTCTATCATGTTATTAAAGGTCTTCAGAGAGTTGTCACTTAAAATGATAATGAAGACGATCATTTTTTATAAACTTACATATCCTCTCTAATAGGTATAAAGTATTCAACAGACCTAGTTCTGTCAAACGAAAACTCAGATGGAAATTTGTGAATGTATGATTATGTATTTTACGGTTGTGATAGTTATGTATCAGGATATTTCTGCTATATCTATTTCTAGAATGTGGAAAAATAACTAATGGATCCACTTAATACTCTAGTTATTCGCGAAGTCGCTTCAGCCTTCATGAGCTAATGACTAAATAAGTTTACGTAGGTAGAGAAAATCTCGATTTCTGCTGCTACGGGGTAGACAATTTATTCTCCTGTTTGTTTAATCAATACAAATTCCTCAATCACTTATTTTTTGCTTCCTTAAAAATGTATATAAAAATTGATATATTTATTAGATATTAAATATTCATAGGTGTTATCTGATATTCTGCGGATCAGTGAGCTATGAGGTACTTAGGAGAAGGGAGCGGTTTTGTTTGTTTTTGAGCCGTGTTATCAGTGCAAACCCGTTCCTATTATTATATTAATCGACTTCGACATATCATGGTTCAAATGCACCACCACTAAGGTCGAC